AAAAAAAAAAAAAAAAAAAAAAAAAAGCCAGATAAAAGGGGGAAGTGCACTGTAGCTACAGATGGGCACTCAAGTAGAAGACCGGGCAGGGATTGACATTGTTTTTGTGACTTCATGGGAGGGATGGGCACTTCTCAGAAGCTGATGGCCGTTACATGTGAGCTTGGGGTGAAGATAATCCACAGTTTAAAAAAAAAAAAAAAAAACAAAAAACACAAAAAAAACACATTGTGGCTTTGCAGAATACTTCTGGATGCTGAAGGGGGATTCACCTCATCCAGAAGGAGCACAGATGGTTGGCTGTTCAGTTGTATGACCCTGAGCAAAGGGAGTCACAGTCCAGCTAGCCGTTCTCTGCTATTTGCTTTTTCTGTGGAAAACCCAGTTGTTCTCACAACTCTGCTTTCTTTAGTTGGTGGAATGCTCTTCTGGTGTGCTTCATTCTTTTCTTTTTAAATTCCAAGAATCTTTCTGTTTTTTGACTTTCTGCCCAATCAGTGCACAAAAAACCAAAGCTACAGGTTACTTTCCAATTTCTGTAGTGGTTTACTTACAGTATAAAAATATATGAAAGTAATGCCTTATGTCATTTTCCATGGAAACTAAAACAGCTATAGAAAGCACAATAACACTATTAAATTGCTAATTTAGGAAACTCTTCTGGAAGTTTCACTGGTGGCTTTCCAGTACTGAAGTACACTTCCTGTAAAAGCAGACAATGTGTTAGAGGTAAATTTTCACTTAAAGAAATTATGATTTATCAAAGATGCTGATAGAGGATTTAATGGTCATTGATTTTCAGCTGTATATAGTCACTTATAAGAAGGTAATTTTGTCAGACAGCTAGCTCTGTGCATTTATTAATATTAAAGAGCTGAATTCTCTAGTTATTCTGCTTTGCTTTCAGTTGGTCTACTTTCTCCATCCTTATTCAGAAATGGATTTCTGAGGTGAGACTCAGCAGTAATAGCCTAAGCAATATTGGTAACAGCTAGGATTACACCTAACTGTTACTGCCTTGTAGCTTGAATTGCTCTGCAAGTGTGCAGCTGATACACTGAGCAACTGTTCAGAAGAACCCTGTGACATTCCTGCCAGCCAAGTTCTAACAGCTGTTCCAGGGTTTCCTGTGGTGCACATGTGTTGTGTCATAATGACCTAAGGGTACAATCTTGGGCAGCTAATATAACACTCTTCAAAGTGTGCTTCAGGACAGGATTGGAATGGTTTTAAACAAAAGGAGAGATGATTTAGATCAGATGTCAAGGGGAAGTTTTTCACTGAACGGATGGTGTGGCACTGGCACAGACTGCCCAGAGAAGCTTTGAATGCCCTATCCCTGCAGGTGTTCAAAGCCAGGTTGCATGAGGCCCTGGGCAGCCTGCTTGTTCTTTGTCTTGCAGCTGGCAGTCCTGCCTGTGGCAGGGGCACTGGAACTTGATTCTTGGGGTGCTTTCCAAATCCAAGCCATTCTACGATTCATGTTATTGTGGGTGATGTTGAGAAGTGAAGTAAAGTCTGGGGGCTACGAAACAGCTGAGCTTTAATCTGAACCCTGTCTCTGTTCTCATGTGTACCCTAGAGATGTCATCCCAAGGAAATAAGGAGAGGAGTAATTAACTTGTTGCACTGTAATTTAAACAAGTGAAATGTAAGAGTGAATGATCTAAGAGCATGTCTTCCACGTGGAGTAGGATGTAACCATATCCTACAAGTATGTGTCTACTTGCAGTGGTAACTTGAAGCAGTAAATTTGGAAATCAAACTGTAGTGACAAATTCCAGCTGTTATGGAGTGGGAGATCTACTGCTGCCAAATATAGTGAAGTTATGCGAATGTTAGTTTATCAAATGCCTGCTGTATGTTCACACCCTGATGTAGACAACTCAACAACAGCTTATTCTTCATCTCTTTTGAAGCTTTGATGCCTGCTTTTGTTTTGTGGTTTTTTTTTACCTTCCATGGGGTTTTATTAAACAAAGTCATTAAGTGTGTTCTGCAGAAATTTTGTGAGTACTACTACAGACATTGAATAAACAGGCTGTTTGTAATGTGGTATTTTTACTGGAAATTCAATATGTGGTAGCATTTTGGTGCTGTTCTCTTATCATTTTGAAGTTCTGTGAGCTCTTTACTGCTGTTTTAAGATTTGTTTGGTCAAGATTATGATGTGTACAAATACATCTGGCAAAGGAGTCAGTGCAGCTGTGGAATCACCACTCTCATGGACCGAATCAACTGATCACAGGTGTCTGTATCATTAGGTATGGAAACACATCAAACTTCACTGAACCATAAATGCTTATACTTGAGTCTTTTTTTTGCAACTGTAAAAACAATTAATTTTGAGCAACGGTTTAATGTATGTAGTTCTTGTGCAAAGGGTCTGCTAAAACTGATGGCTACAATTCTTCAATTCACATGGTCAGCTGAGCTCTTCAGAATGGGGTGAGTGATGGGGATAGTCAAATAGCCATGATTTCAGTTACCATTTTCAACTGTTTAAAGTTGATGAAATAAGAAGTTGGAACCAGGTTGTATGTATTAATTTACACGAATAGTGAGCTTAACTGGTGGTGTTTATTGTCATGTTGATATGTATACAGAGTCATTAATGCTTTCTGACAGATACCCCTTCTGTTTTTGTAAATTGTATTCTTTCAAAATGCAGCTTTACTGTATTCTGTGCCTTAGGGGAAGAAATATGGGAAAGCAATGCTTGATGTCTTGTTTAATTAGCGTGACTAGATTTGTTTCTGCACATGCACGCACACCTCCCCAACTTGACTGGAGAACAGCACAGTGTGTGCTACCGTGTAACCTTAAGTAAATGTAACTGTGAGCTGCTTTATCATTAGTTACACTCACATAGTCATTTCACAAATTGTCTGAAAAATTAATGTTCCTTGAAATTACTGCTGGCAGCACTTACCTCTAATGTGGCTGCCCAAATACTGTCAGGAATGAACGGGTCTGTGGTGAGAGACAAGGAAAGGGTCTCCCCTAGGTTGCTGACATTTTGCACTTGGTCAGCTTCAGTGGAACTTTAATCATGCCCAGGCTCAGCTTGGGCCTGGTATAAACTGGTATAAAATTATTTGTTTCCTAGGTAGCTTTTCAGCTAGCTTAGTAAGAAATTCAATGAAATTGCAGGAAATTCTAGGATGTTTCATGAACTTCAGAGTTTAAGAAAGAGGAAGGGTGGTTGCAAGAGCATGAAAAGGGAGCCTTCCTCTTTCCGTGAGATTCAGTGGTATGTCTGTTTCTCTGATCTGCACCAGAGCAGTGGTAGCACCAGTGGCATTGTGGGAGCATTCTATTAGTTTTAAATGAGCTGCCACAGGTAACCAGACACAACCATGGTACCTTAGGATTGTGTGCTTGTTCGTTCTGCTTTACAAGTTGTACAGTGGGAATGGTGAGCAAACTGAGCTGTCTAAAATGATGTACAACATGGAAGTGTGAATATAGTGAAGGTGAGGCATTAAATTCTTCCGTGGGGAAAAAATGGCACCCACTGACATTCACTGACTCTTGCTGAATGTTTTTGGAAACCAAACTGGCTGTGAGCACAGTGAGGCAGGTGATGCATTTCAGCAGCAGCAGCTGCAACACTGGGTCACCTCTGCTGATGCAGATTGTTGTGTGGCAAAGCAGGCTCTTGTTCATGACTAGCTAATAGTGGTTACTGTGTTGAAGAAGAGTGGTTGCAGTGACAGTCTGTTCTATCATAAAGTGATATTGCGATCTTTGTATGTGTTGTAGTTTCTAAGGAAATAAATAGGAGGCATTACTTTCTGAAGGGCAGTTTGTGCAAGGCCTTATCTAAGGTATTATTGGCTGCAACTTCTGTTAGGGAGAGCAGTGAGGTAATACCAGTTGAGAGTCTCTCTGCAGTGTTTTTATGTGTTAAATGATGCGGGTTATATTTCTGAAGCACAAGTTCTCCCTGAAGTACAGAGAAAATAAAGAGCAACTGGCTAGGTTTTGGTCAGATCTTAGTTCTGCATTATTTCAAAATAAATTGTAAATGAATGAATTGATGCTTGAATAGATGCTTGAATGAATAGATGCTCTTCAAAGTCCAAAGAGAAAAGCAGGTTTCTTCTTTGAAGAGGCAGGCTAGCAATTCTTTGCTTCTATTGCTTTCAAGAGTGAAACTACTTGGAGTACAGTTCTAGGTAATTGCTGAACGTGGCAGCAAGAAGGTACTTGGGGCTTGGGCTTTTTTGTTGTCTTCAAATGCAGCTTCAGCTTTTTGTGGTGGAAGAAGCTAGCTGTTGTTGGGACTCTGAAGTTCTTCCTGGCAGAAATTACTAGGTGTGTGGGGTATGCATGTGATGCTGAGAGGTTTTTCTGATCTTGTTGCTCTTTTCCATATTCCTTTAGGGCTGGGAAGATGCTGATGGGGTGCTGAGATTTAGTCTGGCTTTCAGCATTAAAATTGTTGAGCTCCCATTTGTTTTCCTCCTGAGAGTATGTTCAGATGAGCTCTTTGATTGAGACAACTTATGGCATATATAACTAATAACACTTCAGTTCTGCCTTTTTCCCTTTTGTGACCTCGGTCACAGATGGAATCTTCTCATTTTTAGAGTTCAGGATAATTCAGACAGGATTGCACTCTTGTATACATGCCCTACTTTGAGGACCAGACTCGTAGTTTTAGGATCCAACTTGACAGGCTTGATTTCAGTCTGAAGCTTTGTGAGAGCATGAGTGAGGCCATTTCTGCATGTTTTTTGAGAAGTGTTATCCAGTGATGCTCAGAGCTTGATGGGCCCTCATCAGTCTTAGAAGATGGAGAGGTTTCTGTTGTGTTGATACCATCATGTGATACTTCTCCCTTTTTTTTTTTTTTTTTTTTTTTTTTTTTTTTCCCCCACCTTCGGTGTCATTCAGGTGTTCTTGTACAGTGGAGTTCTAACAGGCCTGAGAAGGAGAGGAAGGACAGAGTAGTGGGTTTCTGGTGAATAACAAAGGGAGCTTGGAAGTAGGGGACCCATGTGGCCAAAACCTAAATTACTTTCTGTGATCTGATAGATGAACCCAGCTATTGGGTCTAAGCAGTCATATGTAAAACCCCATTGAGCAAATGGATAGCACTGAGCAGCAGAAATGTTAATAAATTCTTGAAAACAAGATTCTCAATTCTTGAGATCAGTTGTACTGTGTACCACATCAGTGTGCTGTGTCATTCAGAGGAGGTGGGTTTGGCTTAAAGCTAAGTCTGTTACATAAAGCCCGCCATCTGGTGGCTGTACAGCCTAAATCGCCTCCAAAATGATTCATACACGTTGTGGTAAGCCTTCTGCACACCCTTTTCTCTTGGAAATTGTTATTAATTGCATGTACTTGCATGTGATCTTGGAAAAGCCACAAATTTAAGCTTCTCTTCAAAATTGTGTGTTGATCTGATGCTAGTCTCATTTTGCTGAGAAGCTTTGCTGTAAGTGCAGTGCTTTGATTTGAAAAGTACTGGCTGTATTCATGCTCTGGCCGTTAGGATCTAGTTCTTAAGAGTCTTTACTGGTTTCCAGATTTCTCTTTTTAGTGTTGTGAATTCTATTTTTTTTCCCCAAGGAAATGTGGAAACTGAAATCTGCTAGCTGTTGTCCTAATCCATTTATTCTTGTAGAATGGCTTATGGCTTGACTGTAAATATTTAGAATTTTTGTGTGCTGCTTCCTTCACCTGAGAAGCATGGATATCACAGAGAGGAAGTATTTCAGCTTTTAGAAATATCTTTCTTTTCTCGCTTGCCTTGTTTGCATATGCCTTAGAGAATAACCCCATTTGGGCACCTATAAAGACCTGACAACTAGTTTGAACAATAATTTGAAAACAATGTTGGCCTCTTTAAAAATAAAGATACTTCTACCTCATCACTACTACAGTTTTGTTGATGGCAGACTACTATGTAAAAAATATTTGGGTATCTTTCCTCTGACCTGTGGAATTTAGTCACGATGTATGATTAGAAGGGTGTAGTATAGCAAAGTAACTTGCTATATTACAGCTTCTGTTCATGGGCTGTTATCTTGTACATAGTGAACTTCAATTTTGATTTAGAAGCTGGTTTGTTGGTTGAAAGAGGACTGTTTGCAGGCTGGACTGTTGATCTGTACAAGTTCCTGCATGGATAAAAAGGGCTGCTGAGATTATTTGTTTCCACTCTATGAAAAGGGCCTGTTAATGGGAGCAACTTATTTCTACCTATTAAAACTCAGGCGATAGGACATTGTTACAGTGGCTTGTGAAGGAGAAAACGAAAATCAACTTTAACCAGTTTTCACTTTCCATGCATACAGCACTTATAAAATCTTTTGTCACACAATTTCCTCTATAATAAAGTTTCTACCGTTCGAGTGAAGTACTAAGTAATTTGTAGTATAAGAGAACAGAACTAAGTAGTTGGTTTTTAAACAAAAGTAAATTAAATGAACAAAGTGTTTAGATTGCACCTTGTTTTGCTTGTCAACTTTGGGGCGTTTCTGTTCTTACTGCCTTCTGTTTTATTCCAGCTATGCAAAAAAGGATTCTGATCTTAATGCAGCTCAAGTCAAACTTCGAGAGTTTGAAGCAGCGCTAAATGCTAAGGAAGCTGCGCTGGCCACAGCACTGGGTGATAAGAGAAGTCAGGAAGAAGAACTTGAGGATTTAAGAGATCAAATTGTGCAGGTGAGGAAAAGGAATACTTAACTAAGGAACTGGTGTCATTATGGTAAAATGCAACTTTGTTGCCAAAACAAGAATGCAAATCTAGAACTTAAGGTTTGCCGTCAGAATTTAACAAAAGTGTCGAATAGGTGTATGTTCAGTATGGTTCAGTTTATTAATAGCATGAATGGTAGAGTGCTTTTAAAATTCCAGGCTTGGCAGAGTATAAAGGATCACATTTCTGTAGACGAACATATCAAGAGTTCAAAACAGACTTAAACTGGAGAAGTATTTTGTGGGGTGACTGAGGTCACTGATATAAATGAGTAACTGGTTCAGTACTGTTCTTCCAGAAAGAATCTGAAAAGTGCAATGGACCTTGGACTTATGTAGAAAGCGGAACTGTAGCCTTCACTTACAGGACTGCTGTAGTCAGTTGTTTGTGCCAGTCCAAACCAACCAAAAACTGATAGCTTTAAATTGCAGCCGGGAAGATTCCTTAAGAGAACTGGGGTAATTATTTAATAAAAAAATGAGTTGATGAAACAATGAGAGATGGCTGGAGGAGAGAAGCTGTAGCTGTCTTTCATAGAGGGTAATGAGAACATATTTGATTCTTCTTGAAGATACTTCCTGAAAGCAAGTTGGGTCAGAGTGCTGGAACTTTAAAGTTTTTCCTACTTTTCCTACTTTTATGATTATCTTCATTCTTTATAGTTCTGTTTGTAGCACTCTGTCTTCAGGACATCTGATAGCAAGTAAAAAAATCTTACAGTTTTGTTGACCCTTTGAAGTATCTTAACTGTGATTTTAAGCAAAAAGAAAACCAAGACCAACAAAGAAATTCTTTGCATGAGTCTAGGAGACATCTGAAACCAGGAAGCTGTTCTTTGTCAAGTAGAAAAAATGAAGGCTTGTTAGGGCATTTTAGGACATTTATCACTAGCATGAATCTTATCAGTGTGCAGAATCTATTATTCACTTGTGCAAGCAATCACAAAGGAGAAAAAAATCATTGCTTTTAAATACTAGACTTGATTGTCAACCTCAACCTTAATATCTATTTAATGTATCAGTAGGCAGATGAGTTATTTGTGTTATGCAAGTTTTGCTACATAATCATGCTGAGCGTTTGTGTTCTTTTCCTAAAGCTTGAGATTTCTTTAGCTGCGGCCAAGAAAGAACTTGCTGATGAAACTTTACAGAAGGTGGATCTTGAAAATCGTTGTCAGAGCCTCATTGAGGATTTGGAATTCCGTAAGAATATGTATGAGGAGGTAAATTTTCTTAGTATAAAATATTTGTGTTTTTAAAGGACAAAGGATAACTGAAAGGTCATTCTGAAGTAATAGAATAACTTTTTGAACGCCCATTCTGAGCAGAATTTACTTTTCTTGTATCTAGGTTTTCATCTTTTTATTACAAGCACATAACATGAACTCAGAGCTCTTATAAATGGTGAAATAGCTTTGGGTGTCATGTCACCTCGTTGCAACCTCCTTTTGGGTCATTTTAGAGAGTGATAAGGTCACCCCTAAGCCTCCTCTTCTCCACACTAAACAGTCTTCGTTTCCTCAGCTGATACTCATAAGACTTGTGCTCTAGACTCTTCACCACCAGCTTCATTGTCCTTCTCTGCACACACTCCATGGCCTTTATCTTGTAGTGAGGGGCTTGGCACTGAACACAGTACTTGAGATGTGGCCTCACCGGTGTTAAGAACAGGGGGATGATCACCACCCTAGTCCTGCTGGCTTCACAGCTGGCACAAGCCAGGATGCTGTTGGCCTTCTTGGCCATCTGGGCTTACTGCTGGCTCGTGTTTAGCTGAGTATTAACCAACACCCCACAGATCCTTTTCCTCTGCACAGCCTTGCAGCTATTTTGCCCTAGGCCTGAAGAGTTGCCTGGGGTTGTTGTGATCAAAGTTCAGGATCCAGTACTTGGTCTTGTTGAATTTCATCCCTTTGGTCTCAGCTCAGTGATCCAGCCTGACCAGATCCCTGTGTAGGGCCTTTCTACCATCGCATAGATGAACACTTCCCCGCTCCTTAGTAGCATCTGCAGCCTTCTGTGAGTGCACTCAATTTCCTCATCCAAATAATCATTAAAGGTATTAAACAGGACAGAACTCCAGTACTGACCTCTGAGGAAGACAGCTCTTCACTGGATGCTAGCTGGTTTTTACTCCAGTCATCACCATCCTCTGGACCTGACCCTCCAGCCAGTTTATAACCCAGAAAAAGTGTACCTGTCCAAGCCATTGGTTGCCACCTCTACAGGAGAATACTGTGGGTGTCAATGATGGTGTCAAAGGCTTTGCTGAAGTTTAGGCAGACTACATCAACAGCCTTTTCCTCATCCACCTCATTCTCTAATATTGACAAGCCTCCAGTCCTCTGAGACCTCTGCAGTTGACCAGGAACCCTGATAGTTTGTGGACCCAGCTTGGCAATCACCTTTGCCAGTTCTCAGCACCCTCAAGTGGATCTCAGCTGGCCCCATGGACTTGTGACAGTCCAGATGGAGTAGTAGGTCTCTAATTTCTCCTGAATTGTTAGGGCTTTTTTCACTCTCCATCCCAGACTCCCAAGTCAGGAAGCTGAGTGCCCCAAGGATAACTGGTCTGAATGTAGAGGACTCACATGCAAAGAAGGCACTGAGAACATCAGCTTTTTCCTTATCCTCAATGGTTTTGTTTTCTGTCACATGCAGTGAAGGACAGAAATTGTCCTTCACCCTCCTGTTACTGATAATTTATAAATAATATTTTTTTTTTTTTTTGTCTCTTGCTAGAGTGGCCAGGTTGAGCCCACACTTGGCTTCTGCCTCTCTTATATTCCTACTGTATCTGCTAGCAACTTCGTACTTTCCCTGAGTTGCCTGTCCCTTCTTCTATGGGGAGGCAATTTTTTTTCTCCCAGAATCTTAGCAAAAGTTCCCTGTTAAGCTATGCTGATCGTCTTCTCTGCTGCTCATCTTATAGCACAGGGGAATAGCCTAATGCTTCACCTTTCAGATTTCCTTCTTGAGGAATTTCCAGCCTTCCTGGATCTCTTTATCCTTTGGGACTGACTCCCAAGGGATCCTTTCTATCAATGTCCTGAGCAGCTCAAAATCTGCCCTCTGGAAGTCCAGGGTAGCAGTTCTGCTGACCCCCTGTTCCTGACTTCACCAAAAATGAAGAACTCTTACGATTTCGTGGTTGTTCTCCCCAAGACAACTCCTAGTCACCATATCTCCCACCAGTCCTTCTGTTTGTGAGCAGCAGGTCTAGGAGAGCACCTCCCGTGGTGGGCTTCAGCAGTGTCAGGCTGTTATTTCCACACACTCAAGTCTTCTATACGGCTTCCTCTGGGCTGTGTTGTATTTCCTGCATAAATCAGGGAAGTTGAAGTCCCTCACCAGAACAAGGGCTGGTGATTGCGTGACTTCTGGCTTGTAGAACGCCTTGTCTGTTGTCTCTTCATCCTGGTTGGAATGTCTGTAACAGACCCTCTAAGATGTGAGCCTTCTTGGCCTTTCCCTAGATCCTTACCCATAGGGTCCTGATCTTATCATTCCCAGCTCCAAGCTTTACAGCATCACAACACTCTCAAATACTCACAACCACACAACCATCCCCTCCTTGCTTGCCTGTTCCTTCTGAAGAGCTTATAACCATCTATTGCAGTACTCCAGTTATGTGAGCGATCCCACCATGTTTCTGTAACGGCAACTAAGTCACAGTTTGCTTGCCACACAATGGCTTCTAGCTCTTCCTGTTTGTTGCCCATGCTGTGTGCTTTGGTGTAGATGCATTTCAGCTCAGCTGTTGGCTTCACTCCCGACCCTGATGTCATTCCCCCGGGCTCATCACTAGTGAGCTGAATTTTAACCCACACTCCATCTTCATACCTAGTGTGAAGTTCTCAACTTCTCCAATAAAGACTCACAAGACTAACTGAAATTTCTATTGCAGTCTGCTTATTGGATAGTCAGATGCTAAAACTTGCTTTTCCTCATTTATTGAACGGTGATCTTGTCTTTTTATTTTTCTTAGGAAATCAAGGAGACGAGAAGAAAACATGAAACTCGCTTAGTTGAAGTTGACTCTGGGCGTCAAATAGAATATGAGTATAAACTGGCCCAAGCACTGAAGGAAATAAGAGAGCAGCATGACGCACAAGTGAAACTGTACAAAGAGGAGCTCGAACAGACTTACAGTAGCAAAGTGAGAATGTTCTTTCATGCAGTTGTCCGATTTACTTTATTTTGCTTTGTTTAGTGGAGGGATATCCTACCAATTTCTTAGATTTCAGAGGATTTTATTTTGGCATTTGGGTTAAAGTCACCATGTTTTTGAAGGTAAATCTACATTTGTAGTTCTCGTTTTGGAGGCAGAGTTGAAACTTAAATAGCGCAATAAAATAGGTATAGAAAGCACTGTGTAAATGAAGTATGTGGAAGAAGACTTGTACTGAGATTACTTTGAATTCAAGGAAAGTTGTGGTTATTATAAATGTAACAGAACAATCTCAATAATAAGCATAGTGTTCTGTATTTTGTGTAAAGCTTAATCCATAACATGGCTTGCTGAGAAGACAGCACTCCATATCAAACCCTATATCAAAATTCTTGTGTGGAGACCTTGACCACACCCAGTCATTTCTGCATTTATAGAAGGGTGAAACCCTACTCAAACTGAAATCAGTTATACTTCATTTCCTTCCTCTACTATGATTCAGCATTTTTGTAATTTTTATAAGGAAGGATCCTGATGTCTCAACCTGATTCTTGTGGCTTCTTATTGCAGTTAGTGTTTTTCAGAACAGCGTTCAGTATTTTTAAAAACAAAGTTGGAAAACTGTGCAGTTGCTTATCTTCAGGGCTTCGGTCTGACTTGAAAAAACTAGGAGAAAGGAAGTTATTTCAAATAAGATCTAGCAAAAATCTTCCTATAATCTGAAAAATCTTTTTGAGGCTTCCTTTTGGGTGTTTTAAACAGTCTAAAAACAAAATTACTCGAACTTGATGTAATAAATTAAAATAAAGAAGCAGTGATCACGGCATTGGTACCTGTAATCTTAAGGCACGTAACTAATGTGCTCATGTTGTCTGATAATCAGCATCAGTTGTTTACTTGCTTCTGTAGAAAATCAATGATTTCAGGTTAGTGTCTATTCAGACACACTTAGAAAACAGTATTTAAGTATATAAAGATAAATACTGTTTTTTTTTTTTTTTTAGTAAAAACTGAACTTAGCATTCCAGTTTTAGTAGTGTCTTCAAGGGAAACTTTTAATGAGTTGAGTTAATCCTACAATAAATGCTCGGATAGCTGTGGTTTTTAGATAGAGCAATCAACATGATAATTGAAACATGATAATTGAACCACCACATTTAACCACTGAAGAGAGAGATGTTTTATAATATATTAGAGCTGGAGAGAGGAACTTTCGCACCTTCATACTGTATATATCTTGTTTGGAGATGGGGTTTTTCTTTTAATTAAAGATAGTTTGAAGTTGATGTCTTATGTTTTGCAGCTTGAAAATATTAGACAGTCATCTGAGATGCACAGTTGTACAGCCAACACGGTAAGAGAAGAACTTCATGAAAGTCGTATGCGAATTGAAACACTGTCTTCCCATATCGCCGATATTCAGAAAGAGGTAACAAGTTTGTCTGTTCAGTCTTATTAGTTGTTGATTTTTAATGTGAATTCTTTCCCTTACTTTGTAAGTATGTTCATCACTGTGTTTTGAATTTGTTTTCTGTTCTGTTGTTCTGTTTGAACTTATTTTTGTAATGTCTTCTTTAGACGAAGTTGATCTTCTGTGCTACAGAAGATTTGAAGGATGTAGGCTGCCATGAGGCCTCATGTCAGCTGCCTCTGCTCTTGATCAGACAAATCAATTGATCTCAGCCAGTCCTCACACACCTCGCCCTCCAGACCCTTCACAGTCTTCGTTGCCCTCTTTTGGACACTCCTAATATCTTTATGTTCTTCTTATATTGTGGTGCCCAAATCTGCATGTAGTGCTGGAGGTGAGGCTGCACAGAGCAGAGAGGACAGCCCCTTTCCTCCTCTCCTGGTGGCAGCACTGGGCCTGCTGCACCCCAGGGCAGGGCTAGCCCTTTAGGCTCCAGGGCACACTGCTGGCTCTTGTTCAATTTGCCATCAGCCAGAACACCCTGATCCCTTTCTGTGGAGCTGCTGTCTAGCCACTCATTCCCCAGTCTGTATGTATAACCAGGGTTGCCCCTTCCCTAGTGCAGGATTCACAGAATTTGCAGCATGTGCTCTTGTTAAACTTTGTGCATCTGGTGACTGCCCAGTTCTCTAATTTGTCTAGATCTCTGCAACACCTCTCCACCCTTTATGGAGTCAAGTGTTCATCTCAACTTAGTACCAGCAAATGTAGAGAAAACTGAAAAAAATCTTATGGTACTAGTAAGGATCTGATCCTATTATATTAGGTCTTGTAAGAACTGTGCAGAACCCCTTCTTCGTTTTCTAGATAAGACAGTATTAAGCACAAGCTGTATATTCTTGACATTCTAAACAATTTAGTTCTTTTCTTCAGTATCTGAATGCTTTAGTGCAGTATTCGGCAAAGCATGATTCCAAGCCAGAGCTAAAATAAACAGTTTGCTTGATATCTTCTTCCATATTTGACCCACTTATTATCTAGAGCTATTTTTAAAATGATGAAATTGAATGATTGTGCCAGGATTGGGATGAAGTTAGAGGGCGAAGTGCATCAAGTAGCTACACTTGAGGTTTGTAGAGCTGAAGCTAAATGGACGTAGTGTCAGGTCACAGTATACAGATCATGCTTATAGAAGTGTGACACAACCTATGACAAGTCACATATTCAGTGCTAGTTTACTTGATCAAAATAGTCATGTACTGGAAAATCTGGAGTGAAAAGCTAGACAGATTTTAATGCTTGTTACTGAAGCTCGTTTCAGAACCTTACTGATCAGTTGAATGCAATGAAGACTTTGTATTTTGTTCCAATAAGTAATTAGTAATTTTGTAGTTTTTATTCTTCCTATGATTAGTGATGAATTTTGAATTGTATTGCTACTGTATAGTAGTCTTGGAGAATTTCAAAATTCAGTCTTGGAGAATTTCAAACTTCAGGTGAAGAACATTCATGCACTTTCCAAATAACTTCGGGTATGAGTCTTCCCAGTTTTTCTGTTATACAGTAAAATTATTTTCTAAAGTAGGCCAGGTTGTGTAATCAGTGTGCATGAGGTTGCACAAGAATTGGGTTAAGGCTTCTGGCTACTTAGCTCTTATTTCTGCCTTTACATTGTGATTGTTATTGTTCTGGTGGCTCAGTCAGTGTGTTGGTTTTTTCCTTCTAACTTCAGTTAAATGTCAGTGTCATATTGCTAACTTAAATTGGCTGCTAGGTTTAAAAAACTTCTAAATCTACAGAGGTATGTGCTGTGAATTTCAGCAAATTCTGTAATCTTCTGCATAACACTAAGCGCTATCTGAGTCTTAAGAGCAGCATCTAGTTAAACTGGTCCTCTGCATCTGCGTGATAGGCTGCTTGTTTTGCTATTGCTGTACTATGATGACTTTTAGAGTAGTGTGCCTTCACAGCAAATTTGATGATTTAACCAGACAATATGGTTCTAGAGCACTATTGGTTTTTTTTTTTTCCTTCAATTAAAGTATTTTAGAGAACATCAGGCTGAAAAAATGCTCTCAGGGAAAGTAGATCTTAAAGGTGTCGTGATTTAGTTATTCTTTGGTAAGTATTCCCTTCTGTGTATACAATATTAAGATCATAGAATTGTAGAATCCTTAGAGTTGGAAGGGGACCTCTGAAGGCCATCTAGTCCAACTCAGCTGCCATGAACAGGGACATCAGAGCTAGAACAGGTTGTCCAAGGCCTGATCCAGCCTCACCTTGAAAGTCCAGGGGTGAGGTATCAACCACATCACTAGGCAGCCTGTGCCAATGCCTTGCAAATTAGCTTTCCTGTGGACCAATTGCCACTGCAGTTTCAGCAGACCTTGAAAATGTTGGTAGGCAGGCAGGCATTCACTATTCCTTTAGATAAACTTCTTCAAGAATTTAGAATTGGCAGCAGTAAACTGAGGCAAGGAACATATATCTGAGAGCTGAAAAACAGTTATGTATCACAGGTTTTGAAGTTCACCAAGCTCATTTTCTTTGTGTCCTACCCAGTGTTATCTTTAAACACACTGACTTTTTAGTTCCATTCTTCTTCAGCTGTGGTAATACTTAGTTAATTTTTCTGAAATATGAAAATGTTTGCCTTCTAAAGTATGTTGAAAATTTCATTGGGACTTAAGGTGTTAAAGAAAATGTGGAGAACAGGATGTTGAGTGTGGATGGGTTTGAATTTGGAGAGAGAGAAAGAGGGTGCTTAGTCTGGTATTCTGAAGTTCAGCTTACCTGATTAGTGGAGTGCTTTGACATTAGAGTGAGCTATCCTTTAGACCACTGTTTTTCAATGCTTTCTAGTCTAGAGCATGGCAAGATAGAGTGCATGAGCTTGAGGACGCCTTGTCCAAGGAGCGGGAAAACTGTCGCAAAATACTGGCTGAGAATGAGAGAGAAGTGGCAGAGATGAGAAATCAAATGCAGCAGCAGTTCAGTGACTACGAACAACTTCTGGATGTTAAACTGGCACTTGATATGGAAATCAGTGCATACCGCAAATTGCTGGAGAGCGAAGAGGAGAGGTATGAAAGAACGTGGCAACATGGTGACTCTGCGCGCTTGCTTGTCAAACTCTGTTAAATGGCAGTTCTTTCATTAAGCCCTTTACTGGTGTTAACAAAACGCTGTTCTTTGCATCCTTGTGTCTGACACACATTTACCTCTGTGACAGAAACTTTCTTGAGTATTTCAATGACTGTTCTACAAAGATACAGATATTATTCCCCTGTTGAGAGTTAGCCCTGAGTTGTTATCCAAGTTGCTTTAAGCATGGGTTAATTTAATACTGTCATAGCTATTGTGATAACCTAATTCAGCAGATAGCTACACTTTCTACACCTGAGTTCAGCAGCACTGAGAACTTTGACTTGGCAAGTCACAGTTGTGATTTGAAATTGTGTATTCCTTTGGTTTTTTTTACTGGCACACCTCTCAGCTGATTTTTCTGTGTGGGGGTGAAATACTGATGGTGGTTTTGCCACAGACATCTTTGTATAAATTTCCTACCAAAACTTAAGTCCTTGTAAGAGTGTTGCGCAGTTGCTGTTTGTGAGCTTTTTGGACTTACTACAGCTACCCAGTAGTGCAGATGATTTTATGATGTTAATATAGTACTCTTTTGTTTTTCATGTCCCTGAGCATTAATGAGCTGTTTGACAACATTTTAATTCTTTAAAGTAATTACAGCTTCAATTCTGATGTAATGTTTTTTGTTTACAATGTTCCTCTACCTTTAGCTATGTAATTCGGTGGGAACAGGAGAAGATATGAAGAAAGTTTTTAAATGAGGGTAGAATAATTTGTTTTATTTCCTTTTGCTTCCTGATGGAGCACTGGAAGAGGCTGCCCAGGGAGGTTGTGAATTCTCCTTCACTGGAGATTTCATGACCTGTCCGGATGCCTACCTGTACAGCCTGCTGCAAGGGGGCCTGCTTTGCACAGAGCCTGACTCAGTGATTTCTAGAGGTCCTTCCAACCCCTACAGTTTGTGATTCTGATTTTCTTCAATTTAGGCTCAGACTTTCTCCAGGCCCATCTTCTCGAGTGACAGTTTCACGAGCTTCATCAAGCCGTAGTGTACGTACCACCAGAGGAAAGAGGAAGAGAATTGATGTGGAAGAATCTGAAGCCAGCAGTAGTGTTAGCATCTCCCATTCAGCTTCTGCCACTGGAAATATCTCTATTGAGGAGATAGATGTTGATGGAAAATTCATCCGCTTGAAGAATACCTCTGAACAGGTTTGAAAGTGCTCATATCACGTCTTCACAGCGGGCTGATTAGGTAGAAGGCTTTCTCAGCACCATGTCACATCTCAGGCTTAATGTTGACTCTAGAACTAAGGCTGTATGAAAGAGGGCAGTTAGAAATTAGTGACAGTCACAGAATGTTCTTTCCAACATTGTATTGTGGGTTAGTAACAATTTCCTGATTGTTTTTAATGGTTTTCGAGGTGCCAAACTCTTTAGTTCTGCTTTGCCAGATGATCTGGCTTTACAGTTACAATTATCATTGATAGCCTGAAGTCCATTTGCACTATTTCTTATCTTCAGAAGTTTCTCTCTGCCTTAAGAAGGCCCAGAAGAAATAGCACCAATGCAGAATGAAGATCTACATGTCTGTGAAGTTCTAACTGACTAATTAGAGACACTCTTTAATACTTGTGTATGTCTTCATTAAGTTACAATTTTCCTTCTTTTCTTGGTTGCATCTGCAGTTTTTGGAAGGAGCAATATTTGCTCATGCCAAAACCTTTCCAGATTGTTTTTCTGTGGATAGGCTGCAGTTTGCATCAGTGGGGAAGTGGGACAATATTTAAAGGCATTTCACTTAAAGAAATGCTTTGACTATTACTCATGCTTTTGTTTGAAGGACATCAACTGTTGCATTAAATTGGTCCTGCCCAAGATAGGAATTTTAACTTCTGTTTAAGGGGAAAAAAAAAACAATCCTGTGTTATGTTTTAGTGTTTATAAAGACGACTTTAACTTGCTCTAGTGTGTTAAGACCTCCCACTTTTCCCTAACCATTTTTTTTCAGCAACTTCCCTCTGCACCATGTGGGATTCCCTTCTATTATAGGTGACTCCTAGCTACACGTTTGTTTATCCATAGCTGAACCATCAGCTCTAAGTAGCCATATATGATTCATAGTTATTGCACTTAGTCAGGCATAAACTTTTCAGCAACATTCTGTAGTGCAGTGTTCTAAATTGTATGTGGGAGTGATCAGGAGTGCTGGACAAAATGTTGTAAGGCTTAATACTTGTGCATTTATGTGGACTAAGGTATAAAAAAGCCTGAAGCAAACTAAGACACTAATTTAAAAAAGGGTGATGTTAAAATGGAGAAGTGGAATGTATTGAAATCTAACCTGGAATAAGAAAAGATCAGCTTGCCTAAAACTGTAGCTATCTATGTGCTGAAGGGAAATACAAAATTTTATATGCATCATGTCCGTATGTGTAAAATACCCTACATGTTTAACACAATAGCTGCTGACAAACTTTATCCTTCTTTTCAGGATCAACCTATGGGAGGTTGGGAGATGATCAGAAAAATAGGAGACACTTCTGCAAGTTACAGATATACCTCAAGATATGTACTGAAGGCAGGACAGACTGTTACAGTAAGTTGTCAAGCTTCACCTGTTCAGTTCAAACTGGCTTTAGGTTAATTCGTGTATGTCAGTAAGTCAGTAATGTATTTTTGTCCTTCCTATACAGATGGTGAAAAAAAAATCACCTGTATTTAGCATTCATTTTATCATCTGTTGGGAAGGGTAATTTTTAGTGAACAGAGTCACATTTCTTAGAAACTTACTTTATATATGCAACAATAATTTTGACTGTAAGTAGGTGCATTTGCATATTCAAAAGTGTCTGTTCATGTTAAAAAAGTAAGGATATTTTAATGTTTAAAAAAAAAAAAAAGTAGTAGCTGGAGTGAGACTTTATTTTTTCTTAACTGGAAGAGATTCAGTGGTGTCACCTAAAATGGAAGTGAATTATGTAAGACTAACAAGTAACATTCATTTGTGACTTTTAACAGATTTGGGCTGCAAATGCTGGAGTGACTGCTAGCCCTCCCACTGACCTCATCTGGAAGAACCAGAATTCCTGGGGCACTGGTGAAGATGTGAAAGTTGTGCTGAAAAATTCTCAGGGGGAGGTAAAGTAACTCAGATGTGTCAAACTTGCATTTGACTATATTGCCACTCCAGCATCTAGCCTTGTAAAGACATAGGTAGAACCACTGTTAGTTCTTTGCACTTCAGTGTATGTGAGACTGTAGTAAAATTTTCTCCTGCTACTTTTAGCCAAGCATACTGTGCACTTTTCTTGAACTTAATTGCAGTTAAGGGGTGCAGCGTTGAGGAAACTTACAAATTTTATATACTCCATTTGTTCTGACATTGCTCTGATGGGGGTGCCTCAATTTTGAAGGTAAAAGATATTAGTAAACTTTTCAGTGCTCTGTTTTTATTTTGTTCCCATGAAAACTGTGTTAATGAGGAGTTAGGAAAACAAGTGTTAATTTTAAGTAGATCAGTGACTATGACATGTAGCAATTGAGGTAAAATACTAAAATACAAATTTCTTGTAATAGTAATGGGGCAAAAAGGCTTGATGTGCATTTTTAGGAAGTTTTTTAACTGTTAAGGGATTTACAACTGAAGTGTTAGGAATGCTGTGTACGTACTTTCCATGTGCTGCAGTGCACAGACAAACTGTACAGTTGGCTGTCTGAACAGGTGGCATTCCACTTTCTCAAAATACAAGTAGATCATCATGAGCTCTTGGAAGAGTCTGTTATTAAAAATGTAACTCCTTTGCAGGAAGTTGCTCAGAGAAGCACTGTCTTTAAAACAACTGTAAATGAAGGGGAAGAGGAGGAGGAGGAAGGTGAAGAAATTCTTGAAGGAGATGTTGTCCACCAACAGGTATTTTGTTAAGGCTTGTCCAGACTACTGTCTTAACAAATTTGCTTAGATTGAAAAGACATTTTTAAGCAGGGATTTTTTTTACATAAGTGTCATAACTGTTTGAGCATGGGTGTTCTGTTGTTTTTGTTTTGTTAAATCAGTAATTGAATTAAAACATAACTTTTAAGAATTATTAAAATTAGTAGGAAGATACGGGATTTTCTTAAACTTTCTGATGCAATTGGACTGAGGGAAATGTATGGTGTTTGCTCTCAGTCTGTACGTAAAATTGTAGTTGCTTACTTAGGGAACTTAAATGTTTCATTTCCTCTAGGAGTGAAAGTGTCAGGCATGATGAAAAAACGCAACTCTAAAGGCAGAGGTGTGAACCTGCAGTGACAGTATAAAGTGCTTTGAAAGATGAGAGAATACTCAGATACAGCATACTGAGTAGTTTGCATTCTGAGTTTGGTGTTAATGCTTTAACCAGTAGCTTTCTAAAAAGACAGTAATTGTAATGGGCAAATAAGTTCCTCTAAGGCCAAGGCCATATAATCATAGATTCCTCAGTGTTGGAAGGGACCTCTTGATTGTCATCTAGTCCAGCTCCGCTGCAATGAACAGGGATACCACAGCCAGTTCAGGTTGACAGGACCTGATGCAACCTCACTTAAAAGTCTGCAGGGATGGAGCATCAATCACATTACTAGGCAACCTTTTCCAGTGCCTCACCACTTCGCTGTAAAAGATTTTTTCCTAATATCTAACATAAATCTACCCTCTTTGAGCTTGAAACCATTTACGTTTTTCTGCCACCACAGACCCTGCTGAAGAGTCTGTCCTCTTCTTTCCTGTAGCTCCCCTTTAGATAATGAAATGCCATTGTCAGGTCTCCCCTCAGCCTTCTCTTCTCCAAGCTGAACACCCTCAGCACTTTCAGCCTTTCCTCATAGGAGAGGTGTTCCATCCCCTGGATCATTTTTGTCGCCCTCCTCTGGGTGTGCTTCAACAGGTCCATGCCTCTCCTGTACTGAGGACTCCACATCTGGAGGCAGTACTCCAGGTGAGGCCTCACCAGCACAAAACAGAGGATCAGGATCACCTCCCTTGGCCTTCTGGTCACGCATCTTATAGATATTTTGCTCCTTTAGCTAAAACTTATTTTTCAGTTAGTATGGGTGTTAATGTTGGTCAGGAGAGTGAACATAGAACAGTAACTAAAGTTATGTATGTAAATCTGCAGGAAACAATGAAGAGAGCTGACTGCTTGAGAAATCATGGTTTTTTGCCAGGCATGTTTTCGGCCTGTAACTGAGTTGTATCTTAGTGGCACTGAATACAGGTGCAAGCTTTTACTACAGTTTTTCAGTATTGAAGTGCATCCTGTGGCAGCTTGGTTTCTGGGGTGTGCTCTTCAGCTAAAGCAGCGTTAGCTTTTCAGCAAAAGAAATATTAGTGGATTTTTTTAAATAAAAACTTCTGACGTATTTGTATGTGCTCACTACTGTATTCACCAGCTGTGTAATCTCAGTGATGCTTTTAGCTATAAACTACAGTATGGTCTTTGTTATTTCTGGTTGTCATGACTTCAAGCTACCCTGGGTAAATATGGGAGTTGTAAGGTGTGAGGTCTCCTTGGGGCACAGTAAGGTGAAATGACAACGGACAGTTGGCTAATGAGTTTATTCAAACAAGAGTAGTTTCAAATTTCCTAGGGAATGTGATTATTGGTACTACGTAAGAAATGCAGTTTTAGTGGTAAGCTATGATGAATTGACTTGCATCTGTTCTAATATAACTTGAAAAGAGGGAGAAAAAGAGAGAAATAAAAATAAAGATACTAAGAGACAGTTCTCACCCTTGGATCCAGCAGTGGTTGTTCCTGCCATGGAAGATGTGCACACCTGAAAGGGCAGTGCTTTGCCTTCTTTGTCTTTGTGGCCCTTAAGGAGAAGTAAAGTGCTTCTTCAGAATGTTTCAGAAATGAGTCTGGGATCTCAGATGGTTGCCAGGTCTCCTCTAATGTTGTAACTGAGATATGGCTCTACCTCTGCACAAGCACAGTTCAAGATTTGGTGTATTCTGGAAATGGGCCGGAGGGGCTTCAGTGGCTGTCTTTGTCACTCTGCTGAACTGAGTACAGGTGCAGTTTGCCACATCTCTTCCTTCCCCACTAAGTCTGCTTGTTGCAGGTCAGCAGGTCCGTGTAATCTTCACAAGATAAGGAAATCAGTCTGGAGGAATACTTGCCTTGCAAGGCTCTTTCCTCCAACTTTTCCTCATATCGTTACTGTGGTGGTCTCCTTTTACTCTTCTACCAAGTATTTGCTTCTCACTTACTTCTCAGTCTCCTACAGTGGTGTCCATCTTCCATTACCTCACTTAACAGGATATCTAGCATTCCTTTACTTCATAGGGTCAAGACATTGTATTACAATTTGCATAGACCATACCAGGCTAGTAATTGTACATTGATAATACGTATGTATTATATTAATAATATATATAGTTATACTGTTTTTGATTTCTGAATATCTTGCTGTTGGATTTTTTCCAATCATGACTTTTCTGTTTGTGACAGGGGACCCCAAGAAAATCTGACAGAAGCTGTGCGATCATGTAACTCCAGTCATCCAGGTTCTTCAAATAATGGTGATCATTGTCTACAGAATAGCCTTCTCAAAAGCACAATGTATTTTTGTAGTTTCTTTCTGTGAGTTCTTAAGCTGAAAGTCTAATGGCCTTAATTTCCTGACATTGAAAATGAAGTTTTGTAAAAGAAACTGTATCTGTGACTTGTTGTTAGGACATAAACTGGTGATTCTGAACTTTGTGTACTGTTTGAAAATGACATTCCCTACCCCTAGTTTTATATGCCAGTCTTTTTTTTAAATAGAAACTTTAGAAGTTTCTGCATTCCAGGGATTGATTTTTGTTGGACAACACCACTCCAGCCATCTACTGTTGACTTCTTTATACTTAGGTGCTGTTTGGGAAGGGAAAGGCATTTTCAATACTATGAACTTTTTGTACTGAAGACATTTTCATATTACAGCGCAATCAAAGATAAACAACTTTCTTATAGAAAATAGACTTTTTTTAAAAAAAGAAGGGGATAAACCATAAAATCGTGTAAGCACTCAGTTCACGAAGGATGCAGTAAAAAAAACTTTCTATTGCTACTTTGCTTAGGTTTCTTATTCTGAAAAGGGGATTCATGTGAAATGTGTTAGTTGTATTGTTAAGGTAGTGTAACAGCTTAAATTTCTTACATGTTTTTTTTGTAACAAAGTCAATTTTAATATTGATTGCTTTGCTTGTTTACAGTTTTTAGGAACAAATCCAAGTCTTCTAGAAATCTAGTCTATGTTTCTATGGAAAACAACTGTAGTTCTGTCAATGTGGAAAGTTTCAGTTCTTTTTGCATTTACCTACTGTTTGAAAGCTTTGAATAAAGAGTAAAGTATCTCTGTATAGACACTTCAGATTAAGGTTTTGAAATTTGTTTTGCGATAAAATGGAGTTAAAAGTTGAATGATTGCTAGGTATTTAGAACTGATAGGATTTGAACTTGGGAAAACCTGCATGTAAATGGAACAGTGGCACTTGATTTGTAAGATTTCTCTTAAAATAATGAGGAACAAATTGACATTTCAAAAATGAATTCTTTGGACCTTTATTCAAAGTGTACATAACTTTCTGTAGTTACCTTTGTCTTGATCTGAAGGTTTTTTTAATGGCCAGAATCATGGGAATTCATTGTGCTTTTTTGCTATCAGTTTCTTGAAAAACAGAACTTCTTAGTGTCTTCCATGTTGAATCAGTTTCTATCCTGATGAACTACATCATGACATTCTGAATTTTTGCCAGCAGAAGTTAGAGGTGGCCAAGGCTTATGTGGATGGACAGAGATTGGTGGGTCTCCTCCTTTTGGTAGTAACATTGGCTTAAACAACTGCATTAGACCCTGAAGTAAAACTTGTTTTAATTTCCTGTTTAAATGTGAGCATTTGTATTTATGTAGTATTTTCGTATAATTTCAGTATTACTTCATATTCTGTAATATTCTCATTATGTCTAATTGTTTCTCCTAAGAATAATGTTTTTCTATTATAGTCTGAGATACTGATGTTACAGGCGTTACCTGTATAAATGAACACTTACATTGTAGTAAACTGTTTATTCCATTTCTTATTTGTTTTCAAAACTAATAGCACAGACTAGCAATACAATTCTGTTAGATAAGACAGTTGATAAGAGATTATTTAACATGTATCAGTGTTCTTGGCTCTAGCTTTTGTAGACCCTCTTTTATCACTGCAGAATGATGAATAGTGCCTTAACCTTTATGGGAGCATGTACCTAGGAGCAGCTGCTTGAGTCTTGTGAATATTCAGGTAAGTCAGCACTCTTGCGATAGATGGCAGTAGACAAGTGCTGATTTTTAGAAAGGTGCTTTAGAATACTTGCATAAACTAGCCTAAATAATGTTAGGAGATTTAAAAAGGGGTGGGGGGGTAAGCCTTCTGTATGTTGCTGACATTTAGTGTGGAAACATCCTGCCACTAGATGGAGATCTTGCTATTGAACTATATTCTTAAAGCAAAACAACAACCGTGAATACCTTTCCTACATTTCATGTGAGTCCCATAATAACTTCAGAAAGTTTCTCTTTACTAGACTGAACAAAGTCCTCCTATCTCTTCACCACAATTTCAACCTTTAATTAGTCTCTTGAAAAGCACTGACCTCAAGCTTGAAATATATGATTTTGTCAGTATTTTTTCCTACCTCTTAACTGTTGTAGTTACTGCTGTTATTTGCCATTTTGTGTGAAAGAAGGCAGGTGGATGGAATTCCTTAAAGGTATCAGAGCACTGGAAAATAAGCTTGTTGGTTTTTAATGTAATGCTTTGCAAAATGTGTTTTCATTTTCTGTAGGTTGTTAGCTAATGAGCTGGAGAAGAATGAAACAGTGTCCTAGTTAGCTCTGTAGACCGGCTCCTACTACTTCTAGAGTAACATCTAAAGATTGCTTCTAGGTACACTTCCAGAATTGACAACATAGATGATCAAGATGTGATACTGATCTGTTTTGTACCTGACAGGTGAAAGCTGCTTAGTGACTTGCTACATGCAACAGGGGAAAAAAAACAAAAAACAAAAAACAAAAACAACACAACAGTGCTAGAAATACATCTGCTAACACGTTCTTCCTGTGAAAACCAGAATAAGAACTTAATAAGCAAGTCTTTTGTCTTCTGTAACACTGCTATAATATGATGAGTGTTCCTGAAGCAAAGTGTATTCCCACCAGTTGTTCCTGGCTCAGAAGATTGAGTTTAGGTCTGGTCATAGTAAAAGCAACTAACATTTAGATCATGGTTGGTTTGTAGTGGACAAGTTCATAAATAAATGCTGGTGTAAGCAGTCTTAGCTGCATGCTACAAATTGCTATATGTTTCATCAACGTCTACCCCTGCTGTGATATAATGTGGGGAAGTGGTATCAATGTGCTCCAGGGAGGTTCAGAATGGATGTGAAGGAGAATTTGTTCATGGAGAGAGTGGTCAAGTCTTGGAACAGGCTGCCCAGGGCAGTGGGGGAGTCCTCTTCCTGGAGGTGTATAAGGGAACATATGGACGTATTGCTGAGACATGTGGTGTTAGTGATGGAGCTTGTTAGGCCAGATTGATGTTCGCACTTGATGATCTTGAAGGTCTTTTCCAACCTAGGTAGTCCAGCGGTTGTGTATTCCACTAAAATATTTTCCCAAGTAGACATCAAAACATGTAAACTAGTAGCTGTTCATGACTGCATTTCATGACACATTCTATTCAGTAGAAACTAAGGATTTATTTGTCGACTTTTGTAGAAGCAGTTTTAATGCAGTTCTTAGAATCTCACAGGGAATCTTAATTGTCTTAACCAACATTCTTATATTGATATGAGAGTTTCTGGAGTTAAAAAGGTGTTTTTATGGGAAATTCCAAGTCTAGAAAGTGGTGCTTTTATATATCTGCTATAAGCACTATATGTCCTCCTCCTGCTTTTAAAGAAAAAACAATATGCTAATTGACTATGAAGTACTTTTTTCCAGGCAGGAAAGTTTAGTAAAGGTAGGAAAGGTAAGTAGTTGATGGGAATAAAAACTTCTAAAGCTCTTGACCAAAATGGAGCATTTTATGAAAGAAACAGAGGCTATGTAGGATGAAGGAGAATATTTATTTAGACTTAATTGGAGCACAGCAGTTAATATTGAGGAAGTGATGGGGCACTTAATTATTTATAATTCTCAGCTAGATACAGGAACACAGCAAAAGTAGCTACTCTTTATCTCTGTTTTTGCTTAGTGTGCATTTAGCAGCCTCCCTCTAGTTTTCTTTAATGAGTTTGTATAGATAACAGAACTTGTTCTCAGCATGCTTAAATCTGAAGGAAGAAAACAGGTGTGATGGCCCTGGAAAAGGTATGTTGCATTTTATACTGATTGTATGGTTGGCTGCTTTTCATCTAGCTGCCAAAAAAAAAAAAGTTTGGGTGCAAAGTATTGTAGCTAATTTGGCTGTTCCGTTTTATGAACAGAAAAGATTATTGGTGAGCAAGTCTGACTTAATTTAAGTCACAGAAAGCAGTTACAGAATTGGTTGTCTGTGCAACTGTAGCATTTCCTTTGTTTTTTTTTTTTTTTTCCGGGAGATGGTGTTTTTGCTTTTCAGCAGAGTGGAATGCTGTTGATAGCATATCAGCATTATCCTTAAGTTTTATTGTGAAAGTGTTTTGTATGCTCAGGATACAGCTGAGGGACAAGTTGTTAGTTCTATAATCTTTCAGCATCAAAGGGAGGAAGGTATTTCTGTAGTGTTGCCACAGTGAGGTGTGAAAGACTCAGTGAAAGCTGGGTAAAAGCTAAAAGCAGATACTAAGAAACTTGGCAGCATGTTTACATGGGTTTAAAAAAGCTTTCTTGTTGCTTCATGGGATAAACAAAAAACATAATGAATAACAGCAGTGAGTTGGTATGTAGTACAGTGTTATCATTGCTGTGTTATATAGTGCTTATCCATATTTCAGACTTTGTTTTACAGGCTTGCTAGATGTTTATGAAGGCCTTTGTTGTACACTTTGCATTGTCGGTCAGCTTCAGAGGTACTTTGGATGCTCCCAAACAGTACTGGGCAGTAAATAGGTATTTTCCTGCTTGCATAGAAAATTCTTTTTTTAATGAAGCAGATGCGTTTTGAATGGAGCTTGGTCTCATCAACAGATGAAAAGTGTAATTACTAGGAGTTTTTAATCTTACCTTTGTTCTGTAGGGTAGAGCTTTCTTTCAGTGCACAGCTGGTCCCTCTTGTAGCTTTTCCTATTTTTTTTCCTGATGGTAGCTCCTTGGTATCTCTCTGCATCAAAGACTGTCTATGGATATTGGCCCTAATGCCCATTATGTGCTAAGTTGCCCAATTGCCCAATTGTCCTACATGAGTTCCTACTGGGGAAACAACGCAGAGCTGTTTTAAATAAATGGCAGTTTGAAATCTCAGTCTGGCGGAACCATACAGCCAAGATAAAAACAAAACAAAACAACAACAACAAAAAACTGAGGGCTAATTAATCTTATGCTGTGGTGTCCATGCAAAAGGCTATGGTATTTCTAAAACTTCATTACAAGAGTGGTATAGTCATATATAAATTTCTGCTACCCAGTGCATATATTCTCCTTCTGCCTACAGTGTATACTGCTGCTCTCACTGTGTCACTGTCCTCGGTGTGAGTGAGAGGTTACATAGCTGCCTGTTGTTGAATCTCTTCCCTTTTCAGCATCATAATTTTGTCACACACTACTTCTTTAATCTCACCTTACTTTTGTCTTTTTTGTTGTTTCGGTGATAAATCAGGCTTGCAGGGAAAAGGTTGCACAGAAGGAAAAGCTGACTTTTTGCACTGTACTCATACTGAATTGTAGTAGACTCCGAGCTTAGTGGTATATACAGGGATGGTGGTCTATCATCGGAAGACAGGGTGTGAAAGGAAGGAATGGATCGACGCTGTGTGTGTCATTAGAGATGGGTTCTTGATTGTTTTGTTTGTTTTTGATTACTTAAGTTGCTGGTTTTTATCCCTTTTGGCTCAAAATACTGATTTGAATGTACTACCTCTATCACTTTTTTCATGGAGAAGGAGTATAAGCAGCAAGGCCAGCTGCATGAGAGGAAAGAAGAACCTTGCTAAGAAGAAAAGAGTGACATCCTATTAAAAACAACCTCCTGAATTATTAGTTAACCTGTATTTTTGCTTAACAGACACTATTGTACAGCTGGGAGTTCCAGGTAACTGTAGGTACACTTGCTGTATCTAATCAATAAATATATTGCTGCTGCTGTAGAATATCTGCTGAAATCCAGTTTTGAAATTGTTAATGGGAATTTGGATTTGATGTGGCAACAATGGCAGAAAAGCTTCAGGAAAGCCTTTTGACTACAAGTCTTCACTGCACTTCAGAAGTGTGAATAAGATGTTAACATCACCCACCTTCTTTGTATTTTATGGAAGTACAAGGATGAATATGAAGTGCATAGTATTTCCATAGGTTTAGTGGAAAAGGCTAGATGTGTGTTTGGTCTTCTCTGTTGTTTTTCTCAAGAAAATCCCTGGCAGACAACCAGTAGTGTCTTTGCCTACCATTTCTACCCTGCTTGCTTGTGACATACAGAAACTAACGTAGCAATGTATTGTGCTTTCTCTGGTTGCTTCAGAATGCCTTCTGCTTAAATAACTTTCTTGAAACTAGAAATGAAACTTGATCTAACAAAGGCCGTCTGTTTCAAGTTTTTCTGTTGGTCTGTGTGCAGATGACTTGCAGCTTGATTTGAATTACTGTTTTCCTTGTTACTACTGGAATTCCAAGTCAGCCCAATTTTTTGTTTTATAAAACAAAACAAAAAAAAAAACTCTGACTGAACTTTTTTGTGGGCACACTTCCAGGTTTTCTTTTAACCTGGAACATTCTCCTTATATCCTTTTCAGTCTTCTACCCAGATAGTTACTGTTCTGTAGAGATATGGTAATAATACATTTTAAGCAGTCACACTTTTCTATACACTTCTTCAGAATTTTGAATATTTCTCCTGCAGTTTTGTTCTGGAAGACAAGCAGGTATCCATTGCCAAATATATGATCAAATCCTGACCTTACAATCAAATTAAAGGATACAGCTCTGTAGGTTCATAACTTTCTCACATGAAGAGATGTTTGTTTCTTGGTGTGAAACTACGGTTTTATGTCTGAATAAAATTGAGATTTATTGTTCAAACAACTGATTATTTTTATACTATGAAATTGACAGCTTCAAGAAGTATTGATAAGCAGTTTCTTTATGGAATTATTTGGACAAGTCTAGCTATAGTTATGTTAATGGATTTGTCTTGGTGTACTAAGTTCATCTCTCCCTAAAGCACAGCCCTAAGCTCTTCTGATAGTGAACTACTTATGTATTCCTTTTATTATCACTGCAGAGTTTGGAAAACAATGCACGTAGTGGCATTACTATCTACATTTAGAAATGTGTATATTCAAGAAACTATGCATCAATTTCTAATTCTAGCAGAATTTGTTAATGAAATATTTTTCATTATTTCTTGTTTTAAAAAAAAGTCTGTAAGTGTTTGGTCTCTAAGAGCACAGAGTTGCTGAGTGAATTAGATGTGAAACCGAAAGGGAAATAGGTAATGCCATTCAACAATACAGTCTAGTGTTCAGACTCCAAATACAGTTCAGTTACCACTGTAGGTTGTTTTACACATTTTAGAAAAGCCGCTGTCACTGCTATGAGAGGCCAGGGTTTACATCAACTGCTGAATCCTACCTGGTGAACTAAAGACTCTGCAGGCTTTCAAGACATGCTCATTGTCATTCAAGATGAGTTCCTGCTTCCTGAGACATCTCTAATGATCTCATTCATTACGTATGTGGAGTTTGCCTTGCAAAATTAATTTATACAGTTAGGATTAAATTCAGCTTGATGTAAACAGCAGGTTGGCTAACTGGAATACTCACTGGCACAATTGTAGTACAGAATGCAATGCCTCATTTGATGCTTCTGAGGGGAAGAAAGTACAGTTTTTGTTCCCTGAGTTTTGTTGAATTATTTAATAGAATACTTCAAAATAGGAAGGTTAGTGCAAGTGTCACTTTGTTCTTCTATGTATTCTAAATATATTCCTGAAAAATTTTCTTACGGGCAACTTCCCTGTAAAACAAGAAATGGGTAAGTCTTCCACTCAGTACATCATGTTTAAGTAACATGCTGGCATGTAGAATTCATCACACAGAAGTATTTTAATAATCCAAAATGCTGGAATCTGTTAAATAAAATTAATTGGGGGGAAAAAAAAAAAAAAAAAAAAAAAAAAAAAAAAACCATGCAGGGCTGTTGATGTGATTCAGGAAAAACAAAATAAACTACTGGTTACTGTCTGCCTTCCTAAGCCATACTACTGTAGGAACAGAACAATAAAAACAAAGCACTCTACATCTGTTTTGCATTGTTAATTTTCAGTTTATTTTAAACAATAATAGAAAAGTTTGCATCACTTGATGATGCAAGTATTAACACCAGCTTCCACACAGTATCTGCTAAATAAACGCATTTGGTAGCTTAGCAAATAGGACTGCAGCGTCCAGCATTTGAATTCAGATAGCAATTTCCTACTTCATGAAGAGTTTATGCATCAGGATAGCACACTGCTGGGTTCTGCATGGTGTTTGAGCATAGTGAGTTTGAGGCAAATGTCCTTAGTGCACAGCCTCAGAGCAGAATGGCCCAAATCAAACCATTGTCTCCTTTGAGTTCCTTTTGACTGATGGCAGGCCCAGCAGGGACTGCTGGTTGGAGGGAATGTTGGCAGACTTGGGGGCAAGGAGTATCACCCGCTGGTTGGTCCGACGCCATTCGTTGTATAATCTACAGTGATATCTAAATGATACCTGCCGAGAAAGGAGACAGGTGCATTCAGAATCACTTCATTCCTCTAAGGAATTGGTGAGGGGTTGGGGAACACACCTTCAAGTGGGACAGAAAGCCTTTAAGCAGCCTCACTAGGTAGGATGAAATTGGCATATATGAAACCATATGGATAGGGGGCTTGTTCCCCAAGCTTCCACAGCAGAGGAGAAGACCAGTTCGTGCCCTGCTTTCTGCTGCTACGCAGTTCTCATTCCCTTCTAATGAAATGAAAAACTAGACATCCTGCCTGTCTATTACAAGAGGTAGTAGCCATTTATAACTAGATGAATTTGGGTTTGAGATTGTTAAGCTGATGATTTCTGTAGCTGGCTGGATGGAGAAGGTTTGCATGCAGACACTAACAGCCTTATGTTCCACCTTGTAATGCTTTGTTGCTAAATGTATTGAATTCAGGATTGCATAGGTATCACGAGGTGAGTGTGACTGACTTCCAGCATGCCCTGTCTCAGAATCAGTGTCTCAACCAGGGTTGTCTTTTGAATTTTTTTTACTGGTCTCAGGTAACCAATTTCAAACTCAGTGCAGCCTGCTAATAGTGAAAAGGAAATGAGTACTGTGAAGATATACTGTATAGATAGTTTGAAGTAGTCTACTGGTTATTTTAGCAACAGCCAAGTGCACGAGTTAGGTCTGTATGCAGTGCTGTACTTACACAACTATGTCAAACACCAGTTAGTTGGCCTTGGGCTTGTTAGATGAGGTGTGCCAATTGACAAGATGATGCTCCCAAGCTGCAGGCAGGAAGGGACCCAAGCAGCAAGCACAGAAGTGCTATGCAATTTTCACACAAAACTTGTCATTTGTCATTGATTTTTATGCACTTGTGCCACTTCAGTTGGTCTCTGCCATTCAGAGGGCAGAGAATACTGTGCAGATACTGCATCTGGTTCCCTGACATGCAGTGCTGATGGTGTGGATGGCTACATAGCATAGTGCTTCTGCACTAGCCATCTACATGCCTATGAATGTATCCTTCAAAACCCTTTTAGTTGCATAAGAGTGTTTTTAGCTAAATAAATAATTTTCCATTCTGTAAAATCATACAGGAACCAAAAAAAAAGAAAAAAAAAGTATATTTTTTTAATTAGGTTCTTATCCTGAGGGAAACCAACAGAGCTTTTGCTTGCTGAGCAGTTACCCAAGGACAGCTCTTCCCACAGATGAATTAATTCCCCACTTCTCCATCTCCTCTGCTCCCCCTGAAGGTAAAGCAGTCTGTGTCTTCACCTCATATAGGAACAGCCCATATGTAAGAATATGAGAAATCTCTTTTAAAAAGTCACTGTAGTCACTGTAGTATCAGCAGAAATGATATGGTAGAGAGAGAGAGAGAGGAAGCAATTAAAAAAAACAACAACAACAACAAAACTCTACAAAGATGAATGCTATGCAGAGTGCTGTGATTGTCTCAGATAACTGAGTAGGAGTTTAGGCTGAGTTCTCCTATAGCATGATATGTGGTTCTTTGAGAAAGAGCAAGATTGTCACTCCAGGCTTTAATTGCTTGTCTGCTTACAGCATTTCACAGAATATCCTGATTCAGCAGGCTCTTGCCTTGAGGTGGTTTCTCAGTGATGTCAGGTGCTCAATTTCATTGAGAGCATCCAGACCAGTGCTCCTAGCCCAGTGCTGCTACTCTGGGGTGGAACTCAGACACTGCACCAACAATACATGTTCCTACATTGAGCATTGCCACACAGAGGTTCTTTGTTCACCTCCTCAACACTATAGGCAGGGGAAGCATTTGTCTTTCTAACTTGGGTTCATTTAGGCTACCCTTGGTGTTTAACCAGCAGTTACATTACACTGGAATCTACATGGCCAATCCTCTTGCACCCAGTCCTCTCCTTAGTCTCACAGAAAGGTTGGCCAAGTGCGTGGAGAGGCAGAGTGTGGCCATGAATCCTTAAACAGAAATCAGTTTTTTTCATCTTGGGCAGAGCAGGACTTTTCTTTCTTTGGGGTGTGTGTTGGGGGGCATAGATCAGTTGCAGTAATTAACTGAGGAAAGGTAATAGCATTTTATGGAGGACTTGGCTGTGGCCTCCCTTTCAGTGGAAGGAATCAGACAGCTTCTTGGGCACTAAAAATAACCTCCCCCATTTTCTGTTCACTGGGATACTGTGGTGCTTAAATGACCTAAGTGCCAGCTTTTGTCTACAAGAGAATAAGCTGATTTATGGGAAGTAAAATTAAATATTAGTTTTCTTAATTTTCTCAGGACCTAGAGAAGCGTTATATCACAGGTCGTGTAATTTACCCAGTAGCTCTCATCATAGCCATAACTAAGCAAGCGGAACTGGATTCTCCCATCTCCTCAGCACTGAGAACTGAAGGGAGGTCTGCACATCCGGCACACATCTGGCCAAACACGGGTGAGGCTTTCCTGCAGGAGCACTGCACCTCAGGCTGCTGAGCACACAGGTGGAGTGTGCCCTCTGCCAGTTGTAAGGTAGTTGCTGTAAATCTCTACCTTGCTTTCATAAATCTGCCTTCTAACGAAGTGCATGAATACACCACCGCTTGAGCTTGATGAGTTAATTTACAGGCACACATAAATCTCCTCAGAACTCTTCCAGCACTAATGCTGAGAGGGAAATGAGGGCACCTTCAGTACTGTGGACAGCGCCTGAGTATCCATCCTCCCCACCGCGTCCTGCTCCACCGCTCCACCACTCAGCTGACTGGGTGCTGAGCAGGAGGTCCATGCACCCCACAGAGGCAGGGTGGGGTGCCTGCGCTGCTCGATGGATGCAGCGCTTCACTGCCCATCCATCTCCTGCTGGGCTGTGCGATGGCTCTGATTCAATTACATCTTGCACACCTCAGTGGGCATTAAAGATGTTGTGCCCCGGTTAAACCAGCTGAGGTGTGCCTTTATATCAAGATCACTCTTAGTATACTCTCCAAGCACTAAGTAACTTCTAAAGGGCGCACACATTTCTCTGTAGGATTCTGAAAGGAGAAACATTGTAAAGTGAATTAGAGGTGATTTTTCATCCCTGTCAAAGCAGTGGCAGTAGATGTTGCTAGCTTACATCTGAGATGCTCCTGAAATCTTAATGAGCAAGGTCAGATGTGTCCACATGTCACGAGCAATTAAATGAAATTATTATTTGCTTGAGACATGCAATCCAGAAACTCAGATGGGCTTGAGCAGTGGCCCAGGAGAACCTCATGAAATTCAACAAAGCCAAGTGTACATTCTGCACCTGGGTCATGACAATCCCCACTACCAGTACAACCTGGGTAAGGACTGAGCACAGCCCTGCCGAAAAGACTTGGTAGATAGCAATTGAACACGAGCCAGCAATGGGCCCTCACGGTCCAGAGAGCCAACTGTATCCTGGGCTGCAAGCAAAAGAAGCACGGCCAGCAAAGGCAAGGGAGGTGATCCTGCTCCTCTGCTTTGTGCTGGTGAGGCCTCACCTGGAGTACTGCATCCAGGTGTGGAGTCCTCAGTACAGGAAGCATGGACCTGTTGGAGCACATCCAGAGGAGGGCCACAAAAATGATCCAAGGGATGGAACACCTCTCCTAGGAGGAGAGAGCTGAGGCTGTTCAGCCTGGAGAAGAGAAGGCCGCAGGGAGAAGTGATGGCCTTTCAGTATCAAAAAGGGGGCTACAAGGAAGAAGGGGACAGACACTTTAGCAGAGTCTGTCATGACAGGACAAGAGGAAATTTAAAATCCATTTTAGGGAAGACTTTGCGTGTAACGACTGCAACGAGAGATCCCGGCAAAGAGGTAAATCAGAACCAATCCTCAAAATCGCGGCTCGACTCGCCGCGCACAGCCATCTGGTCAGCGCGGCGGGCAGGAGCCGCGCTTGTGCCGCCGCGGGCGCCGACGCTGTTTGGGCGGAGCCGGGAGTGAGGGCAGCCAACCCCCGCCTGTATAAAAACTGCCCTCAGGGAGCGCCGCGACCCTGGAAGGCCGCGGACAGGACGCGCGATCGAGGCGAGCTCGTCAGTTTGCGCCGGCAAGCCGCGCGGGGCAGGGTGGGACGGCCGGAAGGAGCCTCCTCTCTTTCTTCACTCCTCCTCTAGGAACTCTAGGGCGTTACCGCCTCTTTCGTCATCGCGGTGAGGAGCCGCCGCAGCAGCCGGGCTGAGGCAGCAACACAGACTGAGGGGACGCAGCCTCTGTGGGCTCATGCGTGCACCCAGGTGGACAACCCGTGGGATGAGGCGGCAGTCCAAAATACTGACTGTGGAGAGCTCCGTAATCTGGAGGTCTCCCTAGGTCCTGAGGCAGGAAAGGGCTGTCATGGCTGCAGGTGTGCCCTGTTCAAGGAGATGCTTGAGCAGATGAGGGGCTCCCTGGAATCTCTGAGGGAGACAGATTGGAGCTGAAGGATGTTGTCACTGTTGAAGATTGCCAGGAAGAACCTCGAGCTGTCCCATAGGATCGTGCAAGGACTCCTCAGAGAAGGTCATATTGCCAGTACTACATCCAAAATCTTCTTGCGTCCCTCCAGGGGTAACCGCACCTGCTGCTTCCCTTAACTGCCTGTATACCAATGCATGCATCGTGGGAAGTAAACAGGATGAGCTGGAGATCTCTGTGCAGTTGCAGGGCTGTGATCTCACTGCAGTCACAGGGATGTGGTGGGACAGCTCGCATGACTGGAATGCTGTCGTGGAGGCTACAACCTTTTTTGGAAAGACAGGATTGGGAAGTGAAGGTGGAGAAGTTGCCCTTTATATGAGGGATCAACTAGAATGTAATGAGCTCCATCTGGGAGGGAGGAAGAATGTGTGGAGAGCTTGTGGGTGAGAATTAACGGGTGGGCTGGGATGGCTGGCATCATTGTGGGGGTGTACTACAGGTCACCAGATCAGAAGGATGAAGTCTACATTGTAGCTGGAAGTAGCCTCACAATCCCATGTGCTGGTTCTCATGGTGAACCATCTATATATTTAATCATCTATATATTTGTTAGGTAAGCAACATGGCCAGGCATGTGCAGTCCAGTTGGTTCCTGCAATGCGTTGAAGATAATTTTCTGACACAGGTGGTGGAGGAGCCAACAAGGCAGGGGGTTCTTCTGGATTTTGTTCTTTTCAACAGGGGTGGGCTTGTTAGGAATGTGAAGGTTGAGGGCAGCTTGGGATGTAGCCATTATGAGATGGTGGAGTTCAAGATCTTGTGTGGAAGAAGTAAGGCAAAAAGTAGGATTGCTACTCTGGACTTTCAGAGAGCCAACTTTGACCTTTTCCTGAATCTACTTGGAGGTATCTCTTGGGCATCTCATCTCTTGAAGGTAAAGGGGCTTGTGGGAGCTGGGCAGCATTTAAACAGCACTTCTTCCAAGCTCAAGATTGGTGCAACCCTAAGAGTAGGAAATCAGGAGACCTGTCTGGATGAGCAAGGAGCTCATGGATAAGATCAAAGGGAAGAAGAAGGTTTATGGAATGTGGAGAAAGGGCCTGGCCTCTTGGGAGGAGTAAAGGAGTGTTGTCAGGGCCTGTAAGAAAGCAACATGGAAAGCTAAAGCTCACCTGGAGCTGGCAAATGAGATAAAGGATAACAAGGTTTTTTTTTTTTAAAGTATGTTAACAGTAAAAGGAAGACTAGGAATAATGTTGATCCCCTGCTGAATGAGGGAGGTGTCTGGTAATGGGAGATGCTGAGAAGGTGGAAATGCTGAATGCTGTCTTTGCTTCAAAGACACCCCCTCAGAACTCCTGGACTCTGGAGGGAAGAGAGAGTCCGGGAAATTGAGAGCTCCCCTCTGGTTGAGGAGGAGATGGCCCAAGAGTGTCTAGGTGGGATCAATGTGCACAAATCTATGGGCCCTGATGAGATGCATCCATGTGTGCAGAGGAAGCTGGCAGAAGTGATTGCTCAACTGCTCTCTATTATCTTTGGCAGGTCTTGGAGAGCAGGAGAGGTGCCAGAGACTGGAGGATAGCCAGCGTCCCTCTGGTCTTCAAAAAGGGCAAGAAAGAGGATCTTGGGGAAACTACAGGCCATTCGGTCTTACCTCTGTCCCTGAAAAGGTGATGGAACAGCTTGTTCTGGATGCCATCTCAAGCAATTGAAAGAGAAAAAGGTCATCAGGAATAGTCAGCATGGATTCACCAAGCGAAAATTGTGCTCAACCAACCTTGTAGCCTTCTGTGATGGTATCACCATGCTGCAGCACCTGCTTTGAATTCCTCCTCATTGCTTCCTCTCTCCCTCTCACTATCCTGCCCAGAGTTTGGGATTTGAGAAGTGCAGACCTCAAATGCACTGCATCTTTCAGAATTTCCAAAGAACTTAATAGACATGGAATGAAGAGATTTCTGAATGTAAACAATGCTTTATGCAATGCTTCACCCATTCTACAGCACTCTAGAGGGGTAGAGGTGTAATTAATTTCCTGCTCTACTCTTTCCCCCATACCCATACTCACTAAGGTCCAAAAGAGGTAAATGGTGAAGAGTGCAACAGTGAGTGCAATGAGGCCGACAGCTTCAAGCCTACTGCTGAAGTGCAGGTGGTCCACAGCTCCCCGCAGGCACAGCCAGCCAGAGACAGTTGCCAGTGGAGTGATGAACAGGAAACACACCATGTCTCCGAAGAGAGTCCGCTTCTCATGCTGGGGACCTGGGTTCCTCAGCCACTGCAGGCAAAGCACAGACAAAGCAAGTGTCAGCCAGCAGTGTGTGTCTTCTGCAACTCCAGAGCAGTAACTCTTGTTACTACTTTTTGTCCTATTTTAAGATATATGTATGTATATATAAAGCTGCCAGTAACACTAGCAAAGCCATTTTTAACTTGCCCTCAGATATCTGCATGCAAGCAGAGGTGAATGCATACAGGGTTACTTTTATTAAGAGGATATTAATCTTGCAAAACAGAGTGCCTGAAAGTCAATGCCTAAAGTGAAGGCTGATTGAACAGCTATCAGCCCTGCACGCCCCTGTTGCTATAAACAGGATTTCAGAATAGTAGAGGTGAAGGAAGTTCAGCCTGGAACAGCGCACTGAGGCCTTCTAATTTAAAAACCTCATCATTCAAATCAGTGTTCAAACAGGATGACTACTGAGCCATGCAACCTTTGCCACTGTAAGATGCAGGTTACTCTCTGTGACTGCTGCAGCATCCTTGTTTTCCTTTTTCTCTCTACAGATATGCTCAGTACGACCAAAGATAGCACACATTTATCCTGTGGTGCCACCCAAAAGCCCCACCCAGCAAAGGGCTATACACCAGTCCTCGGCCTTGCACTGTACTCTGGCTGGTAGTGCTCTCATCCTCTGCTCTCAGTGCAGCAGGAACCATGGCCACTGCAGCCATGATGCTCACCCAGGTGTCCCAACCTGCTGTTTTCAACCCCCACTTCACCTTTTCCCACTTTGCCCACTGCAGGAAAATAAATACAGCATGTATCTCTTCAGCTGAATATGAGGTAAAACAGCAGCCACAGAAGTGAGTGCATCCAGGAGCAGGTGGCCGCAGACCACACTCATTTTTTCAGCATAACTCAAGAATTCAGAGGAACAAAAAAATATACTTTTAAACAAATTTTTGGCAGGCTTTCAAGTCACTTACTTTAAAATAACATGATCAAAGAATCATAGAATGGCTTGGAATGGAAGGGCCCTTAAAACTACCCAACCCCATGCCCTTGACAGGGCTGCCCTCCACCAGCTCAGCTGCCCAGGGCCCCATCCTACCTGGCCTTGAGTGCCTGCAGGGATGGGGCACCACAGCTTCTCTGGGCAGCCTGTTCCAGCACCTCACCACTCTGCGTAAAGGATTTACTCCTAATATCTCATCTGAAGTTCCCCTCTTTCATTCCACCTCATCCTATCTCTATCAGACCATACAAAAGTTGTTCCCTGTCCTACTTGTAAGCATCTTTCAAGTACTGGAAGTTTGTAATGAGGTCTCCCTGGAGTTTTCTCCAGGCAGAACAAGCTTGGCTCCTGCAGCCTTGTTTCAAAGGAGTGGTGCTCTAGCCTTTTGCTATTCTTCATGGCCCTCCTCTGGACACACTCCAGCAGCTCCACGTTTCTTGTTCTGGGGGCCCCAGGCCTGGATGCAGTACTGCAGATGGGGCTTCACAAGGGCAGAGTAGATGGGGACAATCCCCTCCCTCTCCCTGCTGCTACCCCTCTTTGTGCAGCCCATGATAGTGTTGGCCTTCTGGGCTACAAGCACACACTGCTGGCTCATGTCCAGTTTTTCATTTACCAGAAACCTCAGATACTTCACCGTGGGGCTGCTCTCAATGAGTTCTTCTCACAGTCTGTACACGTATCTAAAATTGCCCTGATCCAGGTGCAGCACTTTGCTCTAGCCCTTGTTGAACCTCACTGGGTTCCTGTGAGCTTATTTTTTGAGCCTGTCCACGTCCCTTTGTATGTTAGCCCTTCCTGCTATTGTGTCAACTCCACCTTCAGCAAACTTGCTGAGGGGGCACTTGATCCCACTATCCAGGTTGTTGATAAAGATGTTGAAGAGCACAAAATCTTAAGTATGAAGAGCTTCATAACTACTTTGTACATCCACAAGCAACTTCAGATGAAAGGCAAGGCACTCTTCCAAGAGGACTGTGCAGTAGCATTCCTTCCTTTCCAAGCAGTGCCAGAGATTTGACATTAATGAGTGCACCTCACGACTGCAGCAGGGCAGGCAGAGGGCAGGAGCAACACACCCAGCTCACCCCCAGGGTGTGTGTAGGGAGGAGAGTTAGGCCCACATACGAGCAGTTTTTATAGGATTTGAACACACCATAAAGCCAGGGGGGAAAACTTGCAAACACTTTCCTTGGAGTCTTGCTCCATGTGTTTAAAAAATATACCAAGGGTGCATGCATAACAGTCTCAGGGTATATTCTAGACATTCTAGACATGACTGATTGTGACTTCTTCTTGTTCAATTTCCATAAATCCCTGTAATGAGAAACTGACAGGAAAATGAGAGGAACTCAACATGCCTGGCAGCAGGGATTCTGCTTTTACAAGCAGCTGTCAGAAGGGTTTGTGACATGCATTTGTTTAAGAGGTAACATGGCAGAAAAATGCTGAGCACCTGCTCTGCATCTCAATGTCCACAGAGCAGCAGCTGCACACCAGTTTTCCAGCATCTGCATACCCCAGTGCCAGGCAGGAAAGAGGCATGGCTGCTCCCCAAGCATGCTCAGCATGGTTACATTCATGAGGCCAGTAGAACCCAGGTGGCACAGCTGAACGACAAATGCCATGCATCTATGGAAAGGCAAGGAGAAAGGCAGGAATGTGTCCATGTGGCAAGCATGCAATGCACCCTCAGTATGTTTGTAGATGATGACAAGTTGGGAGGAACTGTCAGTCTGCACGAGTGTGGAAAGGGCCCTCAGAGGAGTCTGGAAAGGCTGGATCAGTGGGTTCAATGGCATGAACCTATAAGCTTTAACAAGACCAAGTGTCCTGCACTTCAGTCACAACAGACTCATACAATGCTACAGCCAGCAGAACATGGGCCAGCATAATGCTCAGATGGCCAAGAAGGCCTATGGCATCAGGCACGTCACCTGCGTAGAATACAGGGATGGTGTCTGGTCTTGCAGAGAGGGGATTAGGAAAACCAAGGAACTGAACTTGGAGAGGGGTGTTAAGAGCCACAAGAAGGGATTCTATAAGTAAAATGGTCAGAAGAGGCATACAAAGAGAGTGTACCTCCTTTGGTAAATAAGAAAAGAGAACTGGCTACAACAGATATGGAGAAGGTTGAGGTATGAAATGAATTTTTTGCCTTGGTCTTAACTGGCAGACAGGATTCTCGTATTTCTCACATTCCTGAAGCTCGCATCCCTGAACTTCTAGGTGGGAATTGGGGGAGTAAATCCCCCTCCTGCTGTAAGGGCAGAGCAAGTCTGAGACTGCCTCGTAAGAGTGAACATATACAAGCCTATGGGGCCAGATGACATTCACCCCAGGGCTCTTAGTGAGCAGACTGGTATTTTTGCTGAGCCACTCTACATCATGCTCTCTGGTTGTGGCTCTCTGGTGTGGTCCCTGGGGACTGGAAAAATGGAAATGTCACTCCCATTTACAAGAAAGGGAAGAAGGAGGACCTGTGGAACTACAGGACAGTGAGCCTCACCTCTTTACCTGGGAAGATCATGGAACAGATCCTCTAAGAAGACATGTTAAGTCACATTAGGGATGAGTGGCCTCTTCATCCATGTAACAGTGATAGGACAAAAAGTAATGTCCTCATGTTGCATCAGGGGAAATCCAGGTTGGATATTAGGAAAGAATTCAACTCAGAAAGAGTGGTGAGGCAGTGGCACAGGCTGCCCAGGCAGGTGGTGGAGTCACTGGCCCTGGAGGTGTTCAAGAACTGTGTGGATGTGGCACTGAGGGATATGTTTAGTGGGCACGCTGGGGATAAATGGGCTGCTGGTTGGACTTTGTGATCTTTGTGGTCTTTCCAGCCTTAATGATTCTATCATTCTATGACTTTTCCAAAGCACACATCTTTCTCATAGTTCTGGAAATAGGAATACAAACAAGATCTTAGGAGTCTATTCCAACCTTAATGATTGTATTATTATACGATTCACACACATTAGGGCAGATGTTGTTTCCCCAACCCCATTGTGACTTTCACAATGTACAACACAGTGCACTTAAATAAAGACAGCATTTGGTGGTCTGCAGATTATCTTGATTGAACGGTTGAGCATGCTTCATATCCAATGGCTCCCAGCACCATTTCTGTCTGTCTGACCCATGTGAACAAAGAATGAAAAGTAAGTAACTCAGATACAAGAAGAGGCCAGGACAGACGAGTAAATAACAGTTATATAAAATCATTAGGTTATAAATTAAAACCTCAAATTTTTATAGTCCAATTTTAAAAGCTGAAGTAATGTCATATTTTGAAAGTGGAAGTCCAAAGTTCTCAGGGGAACCTGCTTCAGCAGGGATCTGGACCAGGTGATCTCCAGAGGTCCCTTCCCATCCCTATGGCTTGTGATTCCATGAATAGTAATTTCAATGGCTACACAGATTTCAGTCACAGCATGCATTTTAATCTGGAAGTAGCGCACTTGAATTTTCAAGCATGCTCCTGTTTAGATGCTAGGTTTCAGTCTTTTGTTTTGAAAATGTGCACTGTCAAGTTACTTTATAGCTAAAAAGCCAAGTCAGCAAATCCTTAGGTGAAAGTGAAATCCATGCAACAGCTCCAGCAAAGTGCTGAGCTGATTAATTGCTCTGGCAGCACAGTCAGGACTGCCGTGCTGGCAAAGAACAAGGCGCGAGGCCAGATATAACTGTTAGACCTGCACTGTGGCACTCCGAAACCCTTCCTATTAAAATGTGTCAATGCACTCGATTATATCTGCAATAATTTCAATTTTTGAAAAACAGATGGTCTGTAAAAAGGGTCACGTTTGAAGCTAAACACTGGCCCAGCTGGCAGTCAGCACCATCACCAAGTGCCATCTTGAAGTGAACATCCACTACTGTTCCAGATACGCAGGCGGAGAGCCAGAGCAAGAAGGCACAGTGATGGCAGCAGTGGCGCATGGCAACATCCCTTGGCAGACAGCCCCTTGCTAAGAAGCATGCTGAAGACCGCAGGAGTGGGGAAAGTTCCCTGATCTGGTCTCCTGCAGTCAAGAAA